ATATATATATATATAAGCTTTAGAGGCAGGCACAAACTTGTAGTCCCAGCTACTTGGGAGGCTGAGGTGGAAGGATTGCTTGAACCCAAGAGTTAGAGAACAGCCTGGCAATATAGCAAGATTCTGTTTCTAAAATAGATATATAGCATGATCAGGAATATTCATTCATACCAGAGAACATAGTGTTACAAATAGGTAGTATAAAGAGTAATGCAGTGTTTTTACTTATACCACAGATCTTATTGTAGATAGGAGAATTTATACTGGAAAGAAACTTTCCAATATCAAGGGCTACAGGCTTTGGATAGAAAGTTGGCTAGAATAAACTGTTACTCAAACTTTATTCAACTTCTGAAACTTTGTATTGCAGAGAAACCCTACAAATTTAATGAATTTAGAAAGACATTTGTCAAAAAAAAAAAATACACCTCAGAAAGTACCAGACAGTTCATAATGAAAAATATTTTATTTACAGGGAAAGTAACCAAAAAATCAAGTCTAAATAATTAGATGATTCATACTAGGAAATAGTAAGACATTAACACTTTCTGGCCAGGCACAATGGCTCACGCCTGTAATCCTAGCACTCTGGGAAGCTGAGGCAGGTAGATTACTTGAGCTGACGAGTTCAAGACCAGCCTGAGCAAATGCAAGATCCTATCTCTACTAAAAATAGAAAAACTGAGGCAAGAGGAACACTTGAGCACAAGAGTTGGAAGTTGCTGAGAAACTCTGTCTCCAAAAGAAAAAAAAAAAAAGACATTAACATGTTCAGACATAACTCTAAATAAGAATGTTGATTATAGAGAATAATTTGAAGTCAAAATAGTTAGGTAATGGATTTGTACGTATGGCTTTTTTTATTGTTTGGTTCATTTTTTGTCTTTTTGTTACAGAGTCTCACTCTGTCGCCCAGGCTAGAATGCCATGGCTCACAGCAACCTCAAACTGCTGGCACATGCACTGAGAGAGGTCTGAGGCAAGATAGGACTAATCGGGGCCCACTATATTTGAGTAAGAGGGGTCTGATCAACCCCTGGGTGTTAGATTGCCCACAAAGCTGGTGAGAGGTGTATGAAAGAATGTGGGTGTGGCGTGACTGAGATGGACACGGAAGGTGGAGTTACTTCTCCTCACTGGGCCGAGGGGAGTGTTGGTTCCTAACTGCAGTACCAGAGAAAGCCTAAGTGGCAGTTTGAGTGGAAAATCAATGGTGCCCAGGTTAGAAAATAGGTTGGAATTGGGAGCATGTGAGTGCTTGGAGACTGACTGAGATGGGTAACAACAGGCAGGGCTCCAGCCCCCTCCACAGGGCAAAACAATTGTGTGACTGCCCCATTTATATCCCACTTTTACCCCATCTGTGATGTGTTTGTGGTTTGTCTGAGGGAAAGAAATGGGAAACACACAGGGGAAACCCACCTGCTGGGAACTGTGCTGAAGTGTTTTAAGAAAGGATTTACAGGCTCGGCACCTGTGGCTCAAGTGGCTAAGGCGCCAGCCATGTACACACAAGGTGGTGGGTTTGAATCCAGCCGGGAACCGCCAAACAACAATGATGGCTGCAACCAAAAAAAATAGCCAGGCGTTGTGGTGGGCACCTGTAGTCCCAGCTACTTGGGAGGCTGAGGCAAGAGACT